ATATATATATATCATATTTACTCAAATCCAAGAGTTTTTTCTTCATTCAACACAGGGGGGAAAAGCCCCCTGCCTTGGATTAGTGTGCTCTTTTCTCAGAAACTAAAAAGTGAAAAATGCCACATAAATATTAAACATCAATACAAACTTAACTTGAGAAAAGGTTATTTCTTAAAAGTTTCTCGTTTTAAGTTGTATATAATTCTGGTAGACAAAGTTCTCCAGTAAAACTCAGCAAGGCACTCAAAGAACCACTGAATGATGGGTATGTTTCCTAATATATTATTAAATGGGAGAATACTGTGGTAACAATTTGAATAGAATTAGATACGGTTACTATATGTCCGGGTTTTCCCCAGACATGTCCTCCTTTTGGATCCTCCAATCTCCGCCTGGGTGGTTTTTTAAAATATGATCAAGCATCCAGGATTTTGCTCTGCTCAGCATCAATGTTTTTCCTGGCATTTCCTGGCTTGCCCTAACAAGTAGCTGCCTGGGGAGAAGTGGGAGGAGGGTGATGGGAGGCAGTAGCGGCCTTAGGGGAGGGCAAACTGGGTGACCGCTTGGGGCCCCACACTTTATAAAAATAAAAATGAATTACACTGAATATCTGTATTAGCAATATTGTATTAAAGATACTTTCATTGCAGTTTCATGGATAGGGCAAAGTGAAATTGAAACTGAAAATGTCCAACTTGCTTTTAGGTCATCAAAATTAAGCCTCTAAGTAGCCCCAAATGACTCTGTTGCCTAGGGCCCCAACAACCCTAAGGCCACCACTGCTGGAGGCAGAGGATGGGCAGCTGGAGGCAGGGAGTGCTACATGTGTGTGCACACATACCCATACAGCCAGCATGCAGTCAGGCAGGGTGGTGGGAGCAGCCCCAGCAGCTGGATGCAGGTAAGTCTATGGGAAGCAGGGGTTGGAGGGCCAGGGCGTGGGGACTGTCTGGGGAGGAAGGGGTGGGGAGTATGTGTGTGGGGGGGAGCATGGGTGTGTGAGGGGGGCAGGTGCCTGCTGGCGCTGGGGGAAGGTGTCTGGGCACCAAAGCTGCAGCAGGGCAAGGGGGATGGGGGGGGAGATGTCTGCC